AGACAGGGAGTTCAAACATAGGCTCTGCCTGGAGATTCAGCTGCGAACATCACTCATCTATCATAATTTAACAAATGGAAAAGATCAAGACAACCTGCCATCCATCATATCTATTTAACTGTACTCCAGAGTGGATTAAATTGTATTTAACAACTTTTATCTTACAGGATTTACGCACTCCGAAAGGGGTAACACTTCTTCATCATGGTTTTGCTTTCTGTTTTATCACTGGGAGAGTTTGAAATTTGTTCCAAAACATTCAAAATCTAGTAAATTCTTTTCAAAGTCTTTATGGCCCTCAATTTTCCCCCCAATTCTGTTTTTAACAGAGTATCAATTTAGTAGAACAGCGATCAAAATGCATTCTTAGGCTACAATGGTATAAAAATAGTCACTTATTCTTAAATAGCATTGCTCTGAATTGGAATAAGCTTGGTTGGTATTGCAAAGTATTAATTTGGAGCCCTTAAAGAAACTTTAAGAGGTATCACTTCAGGACCACAGAGAACTAGAGTTTAAAGAGCACCTAACGATCTCATCCAGTGCCTTTAGTTCACAGTTAAGAAGACTGGGAGGTAAATAGTGTCACAGGCTTGTCTAGATCATCTGCAGTAGTGCTGGGATATGGATGCAGATTTTCCAGTTTCCAGGGAAAGATTTTCTTTTCACCCCCCACCCCCCATACATCTTCATTTATTGAGTCTACATGGATTCTGTGAACCTCAAGTCTTATCGGTATCCTTGGGGATTTAAGGGCGAGCAGAAGGAGGATCGTGGTGAGAAGTAATGTAACTGACTAAAAACTTGGTGCCATGAACGTTGAGTTAAAGAGGAAAGATGTGGGGTAAAGAAAGGGAAGGGAGAAAACTCCTTGTTCTTGATTCTGTCCAGCTTATCTAATTAACACTTGTGAGCCGATGAAAAATTTATAGACTTTGCTAATGGAATTGTTGTGTGTTGGCCTCTTGGAGGATTTCTACATTTGCAGAGGCAAAGACCAAATACTTAAGTGTTCCTTTTAAAGAACAAGCAAATCCAGTAAGAAAACATTTTCTAACATCTTGATGGAAATTATTGGTAGAAAACATTGTTTTAGTTAGGATTGGATCTAACTCAAGGTGATGGAAAACACAAAATAAGCATGATGTGAGCAAATACAACTATATTTTATCTTTTAAGTGAAAGGAATGCAGAAATAAGTAGACCGTGCCTGGTATGGCAGCCTCCTCCGTTCTCTTCCCTCTACGAGCCTAACATGGCAACTCAGGGCTCAAGATGACTGCTCAGGCTCCAGTCATCACATGCAAATTTTAGGTAGCATGAAGGAGTAGGTCATGAGGAAGAGAAGCAGGGAGAGCGGGAAAGGGCCAATGTGAGGCAGGTTATAAGTTGATTTCTGGGAGCAGCCACATAATACTTCCACTTATATTCATTTTCATTAGTCAGAACCGATATAAGAATACATTCTCCTGCGAGGAAGACCGGAAAATTTAGACTGGTTTTGGAAAATTCTAGGTGGCAAGAAGTCCGGCTCCATCAGGATTGCGTTACTGTACTCGGTTTTGGTAAATTACAATATTTGAATTTGGCACTTTGGTCTGCCATTTTTTTTTTTTATTGGCTTAAGTTTAGAGTGCCATGTGGAGACTTTGCCATTGGGGTGTCCAGTGGTGCCATTTAAAGTTCTCCATCTCACATTCTGTCTATAGAGTCCATGTTCAGAGGCAATTCATTCTCCCTTGGCCAGTCCATCTTTGTTTCATGAGCCTAAAAAATGAAAAGTACTTTGTAAATGCCCAAGAACCTTCTATCAAGGCTTTTTGGGGAACACATGTATTTATTTTTCAGTTGTCTTTGATTGTCTCTTACTTGAAATGAGTAGTACAACTCAATGAAAAGTCAGACCCTGGGAAGGATTTCTATGTCCATGCCCTCCCAGTAGTAACAGCCCATCACTAATAGACCTATATGCATACAAGGTACAGGGCTATCGACATAGAGGAAGAGTCTCTTTGAAGCTTTGATTTGTTGTAAAGTATATTTGCAGACTTCTTTTCTCCCCAGCTAGACCCTTGGTTCTTCTTCCTCTGGACTCATGCACCACCTTCTGAATGCCTTCTCCAGCCTCCCCCATAGGCTTAACCTTGCTATATCCTTGAGAGAGGAGGTTCAGAGCAGCTCAAACCAGTAGGGGACAATTGCTTCTTTAATCTGCCTCATCTACAGAAACTCATGGGGAACATATACACAATGTGTACTCTTGGGTCCCATATCTGAACCACTGAATCAGAATCTCCGGGTATGAAGCTTGTAGGTTAGTTTCCAAAGCTTTTCCAGGGCTCCTTAGGCAGCCAGCTTCCTGCTGTGTGTTTAGGGACCTTTGCGCTACAACAAAGGCATTAGACATAAACCTCCTCCCCCAAAAGAAAAATGCTATCCACAGTAAACATTGATACCTATGAAAGGCTTGAAATTCCCAATCCTATGTTCCACACTTCTATCCAAACCCAAATGAAGCACAGTCCAGCTGATGGGCTCAGAGGAGAAATGATTAGTATTGATGTCAGGCACCATGGACAAGGACAGAACGGACAAGGACACAACGTGGGTGCCCCAAATTGGTATGTGTCGGGGCAGCATGGTTTGGGGAGGTATTGGGAAAGGAGTTAATAAGAAAAGAAGAAACAAGGTATTACATTGTTTCTGTACAAATTAAATGAGTTTGCAGTAGAAATACATCCCATTCACCCATTCGCTTTAAATGAGGTTTTGGCTTATCTCATAAATCTGGAATATGTTTATATAATTGTGATTTTATGTATACTTAAGAGTTTAATTTTATAGTTAAGTTGCTAATAGCGTTCTACTAAATCAGGAATATTATGTATTTCTGTAAACAGATAAAAATTTGGGGGGTAAGGGCACACAAATCTGGTTTCTAGTAGAGTTGATACTTGAAATTTATCAGAGTTGTACTTTTTTTCTTAAGAATTAAAACAGACTCCAGATGCACTGTATCTGTGAATTAGAAAAGGGGAGAAAATGGGATGGAATTCTCCTACTGCTTGAAAAAGCCTTGCTGGTATCAGTGTTTTAGGAGGTATTGTGACATTGCTCAAGTTCAATTAAAAATAGTCTATGGTCGCCCCATTGGCATACTGGGGAAAAAAAAAAAAAAACACCTGACTTCTCTGAAGACTGATGGTTCCAAACTCATTAGAACATAAGATTACCTGTCTTCCTCTGGGTATTTATTTTTGCTTCAGCTTGAGCTCCTGTCTTAGCTGCATTGCCACTTTATAGCACGGACAGCTCATGTTCCATGGCAAGGGCCACAAACCCAGATGACTCCTCAGGCAAGAGACAAGTGACATTAGTGAGTGAAGCAGGCCAGATGTAAGAGGGGCCACCCCTGCTCAGCTCCAGGTGGGTATATAGGTCTAGGTTTGCCAGATCTTCTGAGTTTTCATAAAAGCCCCACGTGTGGCATTTTTAAACTGAAATTTCCTGGTCTCTCTGTGCTGACAAGTAATTCAAATGAAATGTAATAAAGAGCACTGGGTATTCAACATGTTGTGAGCAAAGTCAGACCTGAATGTGGCCTTTAGGCCACCCGTTTGCTTTTTCGCTGTCCTGTGGTGGAAAGTTTAATTTGACCCCAAAGATTAGATAAGACTCCAGACCTCATATTCAGCCAATATACAGCTAATGTCTAAAATGGTACCATATCTGTGGATTTGTTGATAAGGAGCTGCAACCTGATGCTCCTGGGGAGCTTTGTGTGTGATTGACATGGGGTCCTGTACCAGCCCCTTGTGGGTCCAGCCTGTCCTGGATAATTTCTCTTCCCTCGCCCCCATCCAGTGTACCCTTTAGGCCAATGTAGACCCAGGTGGGGGGATGTGGCATTTCCAGTGGGTTGATGATTAGATGCACTGAAAAGCAGATACCTGGTGCCCAATAGGCCCTTTGCTACCCCAGCCCCAGGTGATGGCTGTTGGCATACCCCAGTGTAGCCCTTTGTGGCCTGTTGTGGGCGCTGTGGCTTCCCCAGTGACCATGCTCATCAACAATTCAGAGTTCTCATAAAAAGCTTTCTCAGTGTATTTTGCCTTTCATTTAGAATAATCTTTTTCCTTGGACACATATTTCTGGTTTTCATCCCTTTATATTAATGATGCTTTTCTCTTGATTCGTAGACCATTTTCCTTTTGCTGTCTCCTCAACCTTACGATAATGTGGGGAATGCACACTTCTGCTTAGAATGTTCTTCTTGCTTCTACCACCTATGCTGGTATAGTCAGTTCTGCTTTGATTTTCTACAACTATGAAGTAATGTCTTCTTCCTTGAATTTTTAAAGGAAGAGGGTTCATCTGAATGTCTCAGAGAATTTATTACTCTATGTTGCCTGTCTTGTATTGACACTTAGGAGAAAGTCTTTGGTCTTTCCTAAATTCTAAGGCTGCCCTGTCTAATATGTTAGCTGCTACATTTGGTATTCAAATTTAAATGAATAAAAAGTGAAATTAAAAATTCACTTCCTCAGTGACACTAGCCACATTTCAAGTGCTCCCTAGCCACATGTGGCTGGTAAATCCAGTGTTGGGACAGTTTGGAACACTTTCATCTTCAGAGAAGTTTCGATAGAAACAAGGCCGCTCTCAACTCTTTGAGAGCTTTGTCTGGTTTTCTCTACCCTACCTGCAGCTCCAGCCATGAAGTATCATGTCTGCGGCCATCCCTCTTTTTACTGGGGTTGCAGGGGAAGCAGTGTGGGGTATTGGCAAGTGTGTAGACTGGTGTTGAACTACCTGGCTTTGTGAACTGAAGCGAGGTGCTAACCTCTCGTAGCCTCACTTTCTTCATTGGTAAATGGAAATACTCATAAGACATAGAATGCATTGTGTTGTCTTGAATACAAAATGAGATGCTTCATGAAAAGCTCTTAGCCTAGCGGTGGCCATATAGTAGGTGTTCTGTGAATGTTTTTTGCATACAGGACGTATTCAGTGGGCATGACTCCCAAGAGCTCATACCTCCCCATTTTGGCCATGCTCAAGCAGCAGCAAGGTGGACAGCCATCTGCTCTGCAGCCGAGGGGTGGCATCAGTTTTACTGAAGATGGGGAGACCCCGTTCTACCTGCTGCCGTGCCTGCCTTACTCCAAAGCGAACGTTTGTCACTGCCACAGAACCAGGTCTCCCAGACCAGAGCATTTTAAAACACTGACAGCAAGAAATTAATTCTGCCATGCACCATTTCCTTTGTGCTTTTTAATAAAACATTGTATTTGTCGGTCACTAATACTTTCAGTTAATGAAAACACACAAAAATGGCTCTGTGTTTCCTGTATGGCTTCTGTGAAGCGCTCAAGGTGGTCATTTTTGACCAGAATGTTATAACTCTTAATAAGTGGCTTGACCTTTGAGGACTGGGAAACTAAATCTTAAGGGGTTTTCATCTCACCAAGGTGCCTGTGCCTCTGATGAGATTGGTTTCATCTTTCAGGGCTCTACTTTGAAAGAAACCGTGAATTCCTTTAGTATAAATGAAACCTTATCCCTGGCTTCCCCTGAACAGATGCAGGGGAAATCAGCCTCTCAGTCCTGTAATTGCTTTCATCAGTTCTCAAAGGCAACAGCCAAATTACAGATCCCAGGGGAGGAAGTTTTCCTGCAGGGAAGTTCCTGTTTACTGGAATGGCTGTGCCCCCATTTGTCAAGAGCTATTGTTATTCTGATGTGCCACATTCTATTCTTCCCTGCTCTATAAAAAAAAACATGACATCCTTTACAGCCTGATGACTTATGTCATTAACACATTATTCCCCTCTGTAGCTTCCTAGAGTTTGAAGGAAGACCAGATATGGGCGTGCGGGAAGCGATGGAAGGATGTTTTCCAATATCTAAAACTAAAGGTGATCAACTTGGAAGTTTCTGGAAGAAGGTGATACGTGATAGCACATGTGAATCCTACATACAGTTTTCATCTGTCCATTTTTAAAGCATTATGTACATTTAAAATGGCAGAATGTAAGTTGCAGTGAGTGAGAAATAAGTTGGATATTTCTAACAACTTCAAAAAATAATCAGAATTGTGGGTAAATGGATGTAAAAATGGGCTTTGAATTTATGTTCTTATGTGGTGCCTAAGGTCCTGGGATTTTCCCACTGATTGTGTAAAATGGTTGAGTGCCTGGATCTTTCCTGTCCAGCGATGGGTCTTTCCATTCATCGGTCATCTGTAGCCGGGGCACAGGGGTGCAAGAGCACCTGACTGTGGGGTTCCAAACAGACCAAGTTCAGCTACTCGCTGCTGACAAAATCCAAAGGCAGAGAAATGAGTGGTGGTAGAACAAGAAAGGAATTTATTTCAGTGAGGCCAACATCAGGAAGGCAGCAGACTAGCGTCTCAAAGGCTGTCTCCAAAGTGCCGAAAGTACTTCCAGATTTATATAAGTGAAATGTGGACAGAGGTGGGTGGGCACAGGCAGGTAGGGAGTGAAGGTCTGTCAAATCGGTCATTGTCTTAAGATCAATTACATGTGGTCTCCTGGCTCAGCAGCCCCTATTACAGGAGGGGTTAGTATAGGTTCCCTTCAGGGGATGTTTGCCTGCAGGGTCTTTTGCTGAGTTAAGAGATAATCTGGACAGAAGAACTTTATCAGTTAGAAAGTACAGACTGAGGTCCAGATGGAGGTACTGGAAGACCTCTTTCACATCCATTCACCCAACTCTCTGCTCATCATTTGTGTTTAAGATACTGTATTAGGAGATTAGATGGATAAAAAGATGCATATTTGGGAAACAAAGTTTGATCTTTTCTAAAGAACTGCTTTGGAAAACAGACTCAAATATAGAGAACAAACAGATGGTTACCAGAGGGGAGGGGGTAGGATGGGGATTAAGAAGAATACATGTGTCGGGGCGCCTGGGTGGCTCAGTCTGTTGAGCATCTGACTTCGGCTCAGGTCATGATCTCACGGTTCCTGAGTTCGAGCCCTGCATAGGGCTCTGTGCTAACAGCTCAAGGGCCTGGAGCCTGCTTTGGATTCTGTGTCTCCCTCTCTCTGCCCCTCCCCTGCTCACACTCTGTCTTTCTCTCAAAAATAAATAAAGATTAAAAAAAAAAAAAAAGAGTACATGTATCATGATGAGCACCGAGTGATGTATAGAATTGTTGAATCATTTTATTGTACACCTGAAACTAATATAACACTGCATGTTAATTATACTTGAGTTAAAAAACAACTATTAAAAAAATAAAGAGCTGCTTTGGTTTGAAGGAGACCCTGGGATTCTGTGTAGCAGATCTGAGTTTAAGCACTGAACAAGACTCTGAGGCATAATTGAATTTTTTAAAAATATAATTTATTGTCAAATTGGCCTATATACAACACGCAGTGCTCATCCCAACAGGTGCCCTCCTCAATGCCCATCACCCACTTTCCCCTCTCCCCCACGCCCATCAACCCTCAGTTTGTTCTCTGTATTTAAGGAGAGTCTCTTGTGGTTTGCCTCCCTCCCTCTCTATTTAGCAACTATTTTTCCTTCCCCCACGGTCTTCTGTTAAGTTTCTCAAGATCCACATATGAGTGAAAACATATGATATCTTTCTCTGACTGACACTTATTTCCTGCTTTAATACCTCAGTTCCATCAATATTTGCTGCAAATGGCATGATTTTATTCTTTCTCATTGCCAAGTAGAATTCTATCAGATGGGAGTGTAAAAAATAGATAGAGATAGATTATGGTAAGCTTAAAATTATAAAACTGTTAATAATTTCTGCTGAAAGTACAAATTTAACCAGAAAATTAGAAATTAATTTGTATATGCGGTGCCTGGGTGACTCAAGTCAGTTAGGTGTCTGACTTGGCTCAGGTCATGATCTCACGGTTCATGAGTTCAAGCCCTGCGTCGGGCTCTGTGCTGACAGCTCAGAGCCTGGAGCCTGCTTCAGGTTCCGTGTCTCTCCCTCTCTTTGCCCCTCCCATGTTCATGCTCTATCTCTGTCTCTCTCAATAATAAATTAAAAAAACATTAAAAGATATTGAATTATTACCTACTACATACTAGGCAATGTTCTAGGCCTTTGGGATATATTTTAATAGGGGAAACAAAGTAGAAACATAAACATTACAAATAAGCCAACTATGTAGATCTAAGTTCTATGGGAGGAAACAGACCTGTGTGAAAGGACTGAGGGAACAGGACGAGAAATAGGGAGCAGACTACAGGACTTCACTTTTACATAAGACTATCCAAAGTACAGTTGATAATTACTCCACCTCACTCCCCCTCTATTCATCATAAGGACATGCTTTACAGACTAATTGAGCCTTTTTTTCACCCGCAAATTCAGTTTCCTGACACCTTTAAATGCTTCAAACAAAAACCTCAGCACTCAGGATTACAATGTACAGGAAAACAAATAGACTAATTATTCCTTTGCAACAGAATCTGGTATCCTCCACACTGTGGCCTTTATGAGCCCAAAAGCTGCAGAGAAATATGGTCCGATTTTTCAAACCTGATTTAACTTATTTTTTTAAACAAAGCCTTTTAAAGAAGCTCTACTGAGTAATTCTTGAAAATATATAGTCTAGCTTAGGCTTTAAAAAGGATTTCCCCAGTCAGTCTAAATAACATAAATCCAAGTGTGATGCTTTCTCCCTAATTGCAGAAAAATCTAAGTCAGAAGCCTGATTTCATGGTAATCATTGCCATTTGTTTGATGAATTTTACAGTTATTTCAGAATACCCACGAAGCCTCTCAGATAAGAACACACTAAGCCCAGAATAAGAGCTATTGAATAATGTATTCCTGCTTTTATGTAAACAAAAGTATATTAATTTTGATAGCTTCTATGGATATTCTTAATCTACAACTTAAAAGAGGAACCTACGTTTCTATATAAACGAGTTTACAAACCAAAACGTATGTAATAATTTATAGTACGTATAAATTCCCTTTTTGTTTGATGTCCAAAATATTTAAGGGAAAATTCACTGACATTAGCCAGCTGCACATTTAATCCTATAGAGGGAAAGCCCTGTCCACCTCCTAAATAAGGCAGGAGTTCTGTTTGTCTAGTTCGTTTAAATACTGGATTTTAGCCAGCCTTTCCCTTTTTATTTTATGAATATAATATTATTCAAAATTCATCATGTAATTGTCTCTATTTCTTTTTTTTTTTTTTTTAATTTTTTTTTCAACGTTTATTTATTTTTGGGACAGAGAGAGACAGAGCATGAACGGGGGAGGGGCAGAGAGAGAGGGAGACACAGAATCGGAAACAGGCTCCAGGCTCCGAGCCATCAGCCCAGAGCCTGACGCGGGGCTCGAACTCCCGGACCGCGAGATCGTGACCTGGCTGAAGTCGGACGCTTAACTGACTGCGCCACCCAGGCGCCCCATAATTGTCTCTATTTCTACCACTCTGGTACTCACAGCAATCACTCAGTAAATATTTAGGAACAAATTGACAACTCAATGACATTAGTTAGGACAGAAGAATTTCTTAGACTGATATCAAAGATTCCATTTAAAAATGCAGTGGAGGGGCACCTGGGTGGCTCAGTCAGTTGAGCTTCTGACTCTTGATTTTGGCTCAGGTCATGATCCCAGGGTCGTGGGACTGAGTCCTGTGTCACTCTCACTCTCGCTCTCTTTCTGCCCCTCTCCCCCAACTTGCTCGCTCTCTCTAAAATAAAATAATAAAAAATAGATAAATAAAAATGCAATGGAGCTAAATATAAGAATATTTACAGTCATTTATGTAGTATGATGCATTGCACCAAACCATTTTTTACATGCATTATTCCATGATATCTTCACAATGGTGTGGTATGTTTGATAAGACAGGTATTACAATTCCCATTGTTGTTGGTGATAAAAATTAGGCAAGGAATACTTAAGTGACAATTCGTGGTCACACAGGAGGTAATACTGAATTGGATATTTGTACTCTTTTCCTTTCTACTCTGAACAACTTAAGAACTAAGCACTGGACTCTAATCATTCCAACCTAGATTTTAATGATTACAGTTAAGGAACATGTCGGTTAACATTTTTGCCCCTCTCTTTTCTCATCAGTCAAATGGGAATATGATCACTGGTTTCACCGCATTGTCATCAGAATTATATCAGAAAAATCACATATAGCATTGTGACTGGTATCCAGGTAGTAAGCACATCTTCTCCTATATAAATCTGTGGAACTTAATTTCTAATTTTTTTTAATCTTTATTCATTTTTGTGAGAGAGAGAGAGAGAGAGAGAGAGAGAGAGAGAGAGTAAGTGGGGGACCGGCAGAGAGAGAAGGAGACACAGAATCCGAAGCAGGCTCCAGGCTCTGAGCTGTCAGCACAGAGCCCAGTGCAGGGCTCAAACTCACGGAGCATTAGATCAGGACCTGAGCTGAAGTCGGCTGCTTAACAGACTGAGCCACCCAGGTGCCCCTAATTCAATATTTTTTGAATGAATAAATGAACCAATCGCTAGGGTCTTTATCTTCACAGTCCTCAGTTTATCTGTCTAAAAAATGAGGACAATATTGGCCACCTCCAGACATTTTCCCAGAGAAACTATGAGGATAGCTCTGATCATAGATAGTACCTTAGTTTCAACTGAAATGTGATGGTATCTCAAAATGCCATTTGTTTGAAGTTCGAATTTACTTTGCCATAGGAAAGAAACAAAACCCAATGTATTTAGATTCTGAACTCCAGTAGAAAGAGCATCAGGAGGGTGGGATTTTGAAGTCAGAAGACTAGCTCAGAACCCCACCATGCCATTTTCTGAGTTTCTTTATTGCTTAAGTCATATTAAGGATCAAATCAGAGAAAGTACAGTAAGTAAGTAGTGGTTAAGAGACTCAGCTCTATGGGGCAGCTGGGTGGCTCAGTCACTTGA